ACCCCTAATCCTAACCCCTCCACCACACCTACTCCGAAACCTACCAATACTAGGGGGTGCATAATCTGGCAGGGTGCAAATTTCGGCACTACACCGGCGCCGCTCTCTCTCACTCATATAGTGCGCTGCGCTCCGAGCTGAGAGGTCCTCACGGACTCAATATGCACTCTGCAATAATAACGTGATCGATGCCTACAGTCCACGCTGATAGCTGTTCCGGGGCAGTTTTTTTAGTTCTCATCTCCATATACATTAGACGCTGGTGCATCTCTGATTTGTTGTTGGTCTACCATTACGCTCGTATTTCTTCTTCGCTGTGAATTACAATTTCCGTTCATCTGACCATCCGCAATCTGGGAAGCGCCTGTCTGGAGGTACTGCCGCTCCGGTAAGCCAAAGTGGTAAACAGCCACAGTGTAGGTATGAATTTAGATCTTTTGTATGTTTAAAAAAATATCGATACTTGGTGCCAGAGTATTGATAACATCTCGCGGCCAGAAATATCGTGATAAATTGGCACATCGATTTATTGTCCCACACCTACCACTATCCAGTGGGCCAACCTCTGCCTGGAGACAGCCTGTTTTTTCTGCTGGCCTCCATAGCAGACAAAGAGCTGCTCTGAGCTTCTGAAGCTCCGGGTGAGATCCACGTATATGTGCAAACAGGAAGAAAACTGAGATTCCCCGAAATGACTCCAGATCAGCTGAACCACCTGGGGATGGAGATGGTGGGCGAGTTGCGACATGCGACATGATCGTAGACCTCCCTGATGTTTGATGTACGATATAGCCGCAGTGCTGTCCATGCGGACCAACACGTGCTTGCTCTGCAGCAGTGACCGTAACCGTCGCAATGCTAGAAGCACTGACAGCAACTCCAGGCAGTTGATGTGCCAAAGCAGTCGAGGCCCTGTCCAGGACCCCGAGGCTGCCTGCCTGTTGCATGTAGCACTCCAGCCTGTCCTGATAACAACATGCCAGGACACTTGTACTGAGGGCACCCCTGCCCATATAAAAGCAAGGTCCGACCAGGGGCTGAATGTGCGGCGACACATCAGCGTGATAACGACATGAAGTAATTCAAGTGGAATGACTGTGGCTGTGAATGCCATATGCCCCAGGAGCCTCTGAAATTGTTTCAGTGGTCCTACTGTCCTGTCTATGAAGGAACTCAGGCATTTCAGCACTGATTGGGCACACTCGTTGGTCAAATGCGCCTTCATGTTGACCGATTCCAACTAGAGATCTGCACTCAAGTGGGATTACCGCGGGACCCAACGCAACAGGGTGCGGTGCGGGACAACTCTTGATGGGCGAGTGCAGGTGCGGGCGGGGAGAGACTAGTGTGTGTGCAGGATGCGGGAGAATAAAATGATTTGCGGGACTCCCGCAAAATAGAAATTATCTAAATATAAAGTGTCTAAAACATATAAATTGTTATTTATCTGTTGTACAAAAGCAAAAAGAACAACTAATATTAACATTAAAATGATTGATATGCG